TTTCTTGAGTAATTTGAATTATTTGGGAGTGGTTTACCAGAGCTGTTATTACTATGTATATTTTTGTTTGGTAAATTTTGATCTTTTTTCATGTATTGATAGAATGATTTGTTTGGTTCTTTGTACTTTTGCGGTTTATTTTGATTATCCTGTTGTTTTTGTCTAAATTCGGCAATGCTGCGTCCGTATCTTTGACAATAATTACACCATTTCTTGAAAGATGGTTTACCTTTGAAATTTAGATTTTTCTCATATATGTTCAAAATTTCAGTGATTTTTTCGGTTAGGTTTACATCTGAATTGTTTATGTTGTTTATTTGTGTGGTATTTGTTTCGATTCTATTCACTTATAGTAGTTTAAGATTTTCTGTTTCTTCAAGTTTCATTGTGATTTCTGCTTGTTCTAATATATCAACTATTTTTCTAAAATCTAAATCTGGTTCTCGAATTGATGAGGGGTGTGATGCTCTCTTTTTTATAGCTATTTTTTTTAATTGAGGTGTTCTGTCATTTTCGTGTTTTTTAATAATCATGAGTGTTTAGTGAATATGCTTTTCGAACTAGTGTTTCAATTCTAACTGCCAATTTTATAATTGTTTCATTTGGTAGTCTACGAATTTCGTTGCATAAAACTCTTTGGTGTTGTTTATTTCTTTCAGAATCAAACATTTTAAAAATTTCTTGTTTAAATCTTTTCCAATCTGATTTTATGTCTATTGGTAAAACTGAAAACCATTTCTGAGCTGCGCCATCAAGTGTTGTTTGGATTAACGCTGTGCGTCTGTGTATCCAATTTTGATGGAGTGGTGTATTTATTGGTTCAGGTCTGATATTTAAAATTAAATTTGCTGTGACTGCGTTCAAATAGTCTTCTACAGAATATTCAGGGTCTGTGCCTGTGAATACCATCAGTGGTTTATTTGATATTATTGACGATCCACCCATGAGGTATGGATTCGTAGTCATCTGTAGTGATTCTGCGGCATTTGGTATTTGTGAAAAATTTCTCAGTTGATTTTTTGTTATTTCATGTTGTTGTAAATAATATGGTAGTGGTATTTCGTTTTGCATTTGTGTTGGTTGATAATAATCAGTATTTGCTGGATTTTGTGAATAAAAATTATTATTTTGAGGTTCTTAATTTGGTCTAGGTTGTCGCATATGTTGTTCTCGTGTATATGGTTCAAAAATATCTGGTTGATGTATGTGATAAGACTGAAGTCTTTGGTTTTGAGAATTTTGTTGATGGTATTGCTCGTTAAAATTGTCATCATCTGATGAATGATAATTAGGTGTATAGTAAGGTGTTTTTTGTTTGTATTGGTATGGTTTTTTATTATTTTAATTTTGTTGAAAAAATGGGTAATTTTCAGTTGGGTCTGTTGGATTTCGTGGGTTATCTTTAAAATTTACGAAATTTGTTGTTTGTTGTTGGAAATTTGGTCGTTGTGAAAATGAACGATTATGCGGGTTTGTACGAGGAGGTTTAGATGTTTGTGATCTATTTACGTAGTTATAATTGCGTTCTGCAAAATTATTTCTGGTGAATGTTCTTTGTTTTTGTGATGGTTTCGTCATTGGTCTAAATGTTTGGTAATCCATATGTGAGTATTTTGGAGCAACCGAGGGTTTAACCATAGATTGCAATGTTACTTGAGGTAATGTTGAAGTCTTTGGTTTTGGCGTTGTAAGATTTGGATGTATTGGTGAAACACTTTGCTGTGTAGTTGTTACAATTGTTTCAACTATTTCTTCATTTATAAAATGTGATGGTGTTTGAATATCTTGTTGTGTAAGATTTTTAGTTCCATTTAAGTTTTCTTGTTGTATTAAAGTTGAATTTAAACTATTATTTTGTCTTCTATCAGGTAAAAATGAATTATAATTTAAAGGTGTTGCATCTGTTGTGAGTGGAATTATTTTTACATAGTGTTTGTGAATAGTTATTGTACTGTTTGCTTGACTTGAGATGTCTACTGGAATATTCAGAAATAATGTATGAGACCAGTCAGGGTCCCAAACGTAATCTGATTGTTCGGCAATGACACTGTCGTCATTTGTACTCTGGGGTCTAAATTTTTTCTTGCTTGTGCAATTAAATCTATATTGTGGTTAAAATAGTCTATTATAAACCATGCTAAGATTTTTTGTCAATCGTGTTTAACATTTGGTGAAATGTCGTTATTTGAAAAATTTTCAGGGATTGTGTTTCAAAAAGCTGAGAATGCGGCAATTTCGTTTCTGACATTTGTGTGTCTTGATGTTTGAACAGGTGATGTGCTTTCGGTCTCTGTTTTTTCTAGTATAGATAAATAGTTATATATTATTGCAAAAACATCGTTAGTGACAATTGATTTTGCTCTCTGTGAATTTTGATGTTGTATGTTTTTAATGTATTCTGTGAATACTTTTGAAAATTCTATATCGACATCATCTGTTTGGATAACATATTTGCCATGAAAATTACTTGTTGTACTGAGTTCGATGGTGTAAATTCCATATCGCTGTGTTAAGTTACATATTCCTTTTATGTAATGATCGACAATTTGTCTTTTTATTTTTATTTCTGGGAATTTTGCTTTACATGGGCTAATTCCTTGTTCAAATATGTTTGCGATTAGGTTATGACAAAATTGTGTTTGTCCTCTGTCGTCAGTGAGTGAAATGATGATAAGTGAGAAAACCGACTCTTCGTCTGGAATTTCTTCACTTGGGCTTATACTCATTTTTTCGTTTTATGACTGTCAGTGCGTGATGTTCAATGTGTCTGATTGGTTGGTTCCAACTGTATAAACGTACTGGTTTATTTTTATATATCTTTTTTATGCTTCTTTTTCCTTGTTTTGATGAATGTGATGTAGCTTCTGAATCGGAAAAATATAATTGATCATGAACTGGGTAATTTTTATTTACTGTGTCTTTTAGTTTGTAGAGTGCGTCTAAATCGCTGACTTCTGATTCGGAGACTGCGTTTCTATGCTTTGAAAATCTTTCTCGTGTAATTTGTCTTTGCTTGCTTAAAATTTTTCATTTTATTGTTTGACGTTTTGTGCGAATATATCCGATTGTTTGCTTATGCGGTGTAATCACAAGATCGTATGCTTCGTTATTTATTTCACAATTGTGTAGTACAATTGTTTGTTTATTTCCTAAATTGTTCAGTGACATAAGGTTTAGGATGAGGGGTGCAAGGTTGTTATTAGTAATTTTTAAATCCTACACTGTTGTTCCTTACAATTTTTTGGTTAGCCTAACTTGGGTCCTTTATGTAGGGTTGGAGAGGAAAGTATATATCGATTCCGAAGAATGATTTTTACTTCCTCGTGGCTTAAGGTGTTAACTTACTGAATCTTACTTAGGGGTAGTGATTGTGTTCAAGGGTTGGAGAATAGTAATCGATCCACGAGGTTCAGGTATAATTAGAACACAAGTAGTTCGTTAGATAATATTTTAATACTTACAAAGATTTAAGATTTAGCCTGGGTCAGGTAAGAGGGGGGATTAAGTGAAGGATGAAATAACCGAAGTTCTTCACTGTTTAGCTTAATTTGAATGGTTAATGTGATTGAAAAATTTTCCATTAGTCCTGGGTCTTTGAAAGGGTTGGGTAGTGAATTGACGTTTGAGTTCGTTAGACATTTTATTATTTGCGTGGGGGAGAACAAAATTGTTCTATTTGATCCAAGGATAGGCCTTGATGATCAGATGATAAATTTTTATGGTATAAAAGGGATTTCATTTAATTATTTAATGGAGATCCAAGGAAAGCCTTGATGATCTGGTTTAAGATTGAATAAATTGAGATGAAAGAAGGATAAAAAATTTAGATAATGTTTTAAAGATAATTCAAATATATTTGATAAAATTTTTTTTAGTGTTTGATGATTTTAGTGGTTGAAGAAATGGTTGCTATTATGTTTAGGTGATGAAGCGGGAGATGCCAGAATGATTTATATAATTACTAACAATTTATGATCATGTCAACTAATTTTATTTTTCTTTCAATAAATATATATTTTTCAGATATCTTTTTCAATTTTACTGCAGATTTAGAGGGAACAATTTGAGATGTTTTTATAAATCGTTATTGTACAATAGTAAATAGGATTTAGCGCCTGTACTAATCATTGAAGATTTTTCTTCAAGGTTTCTATGTTTGCAAAAGAAAATCTAAATTCTTTGCTATTAGAATCCTAAATATAAAAGTTTGGTCTGGCTTTCGCTGTACGACCATGAAACTTAATGGTAAGTTTCTTCGTAGTCGTAGATCGTCTCTTGTCCGAGATCTTCTTCCAATGCCTGGTAGTTCTATTATTGTGCAGAATAGCGGTTCTGAGTCGTAGAGACATTTCAATTAGATTATTATCGTGTAACATTTTTGAAAATGTTTTTGTCTACTTCTAATCTATCTGTTAGTTCTAAGCTAATTTGTTTTTTAAGCTCTTGATCGAGACTTATTGTCACAACAGATGAGTTAGGTTCTAGGTTTAACTCATAGAGTAATTTCGGATAGGGTACACCGTCTGCTCGTCACGCTATCTTATTTTCGGCCGGATAGATTCGTGCAACTTCTTAGTCTAATACCAATCCTAATCTTACTCTTATACTATCTAGTCTCAGGTTGTTTAACTAGTCTCTGCTAGGCTCAATAGATCTAGGGTATACTGGTTTATTGCGGCTGCTGAAGTCTTCTTGGAGAGTCAACTAATTTCTAAGTTAAATTCAAATCTCTCTGGTGCTGAAATTACAAGTAATTTCAGCACTTACAAATAAGTGGTTTGTTAGTTAGATGGATCGTGATTGGTTAATTTTAAATATTTTATAGAGATAAAATATCCACTTTATAACCAAAGAATAAATATAGTTTATATCTGGTTCCATATAGCAGTATAGCAGAATAGTAGAATTTAGTAAATTTCAGTGCATCGCTGTAAAAAAATTATAGAATTCGTATTTTTCACCTGAAATAAAAAAAAGGTTTTGAGGACATAACTAGTTACCTTTCTAACTATGATCTCAAAAAGGTAACAATTGAATGGAATTTAAGCGTTATTCAAATTCAATCGGATTTTGGGGCGTGCAAAGAATATAAAAAAGAAGAGCTCATAAAATTCAGAGAGCGTGCTTAGAGCAAATGAAATTAATTAATTTATGATAATAAAAATTCCATAATGTGTGAACAGGAATGAATGATCGGGAAATCAAAGCAGAGGCTCGCCTTTAAAGTTCTTTTTTTTGTTACAGAAAGATGGCCGAAGGTCGCTTTACAGCTGCAGTATTACTTTGAATACCATCATTTTATTGCACCATTTTGAAAATAAAAAAATGTGTTTGGACAAGTCTCGCTGTTTCACCACCTGGAAAGGATTCTTTCACCAAAATAAACATTTTTATTGGAAACCGTTTTAAAACCGATAAAACTGGCAACGAAGTGTGAGATAAAAGGAAAATTCAGCAGCGGCATATTTTGTAGAAGAATCAATTTCATGGAAAATGTGAAACAATAATGTCTCCGAAACTAAATTTGATGCGAAAGAAAACAGATTTTGCAAAATACTGTTTATTCCAAAAAATGAAACGGCTAGGTTAATTTTTTTCTTTGTGTTTCTCGTGTTCGCTCAACTCTATCCCGGACCATACAATTACAATATCGCAATAAACTAAAGACGCCTGGTGAAAAAACAACAAAAGGGTTTTCCGCTTGAAAGCATCTTTAAAATGAACGTCATTTTTTAATAGATTCAAACCATTCAAAAAGCCGCAAAAGATTTTTCTTTAGGTGAAAAAGCAATAAAATTTCAGTTTTACCAACTTAATTTGCAAACTTATTGAGCCTATTTACGGAAAAAAGATTAATGCTAAGAAAATCATCCACGAAATGAGCAGATGCCTTCTTTTTTGCCTATTTTATAAAAATGACAAGGGTGACAAACAAAGCTGGACATACGTGTTTCGTTTTTGGAACAAAAAAGACTATCGTTCAGCTCTATAGAAGATGAAAAAAATGCTTAACGTTCCATAGAAGAAAAAACTGCACAAAAACGGCAAGGGTAGCTTTTTTGTTTCAATTATGACACCGTATAACTATAGCGCATTCATTCCTGTGCTACAATTCAAACCATGCAATTTAATTTCGCACAAGTTTTTACCTAGTCATGTCACTTGTAAGCAATCTAAGTCCTTTTTTATAACTTAAAATCTTCGCGGTATGAATCTGGATCAAATAATCGAGCGAATCTTTCGAGCGAATCTTTCAAGCGAATCTGGATCGAGCGAATCTTTCTGTGCGTTATCCTTGAAATTCTTAGTGCCGGAAAAATCATCTTTCTGATTAGCTGATGGAACCATTAGGAAAATTCCCAAAATGTTCTATCAAATACAATCAATTCGAGTTAGTGTTTCTGGTATTGCACCACCTTGTAAAACATTTGTCGGGTTTTTTTACGGCTACAACTCAAAGCTACATGAGAAAAATCAGTAAACTGTGTCTCAAAGTGAACAAACAACAATTCAGTTTTGAGGCAAATCCTTCTGAACTGGCGATTTAGTTGTTCAAAATTCGGGGGTGGATGCTTTCTTCCCCTCAGGGAGTTCAACCCATGCAAATTTTGATGGGGGAGCGCGCGCCGAAAAAACTCAATTTTCTGGTCAAATATTTTCAAAAAGTGCCTAAAAACGATTTTTTTGCTTGTCTTTTCAAATTTTTGGTCGACAAAATGTACGAAATTTTTTGAAAATCCGCCTCCCCCGTCGAGAAAATCCTAGATCCGCCCCTGGCTACTTTCTTTTTTTAAAGGTGCAAAATGCAAAGAACGATGAACTCTTATACGTCGCTCCTCGTCAGTCGTGTATGCTTAACGAGATCCAAGTTAATTCAAGGCAAAAAAGAGAATAAACGAAAGCCATATCATGTTTTCATGCCAACTCACCTCTAAAAAACCAAAGCTATGAAAGCATGAAATTATGCCGGCATAACACGTGACAACCAATCAAAACGACAAAAGGTCTACTCTAATCGTTAATACGGCAGTTTCATGATCTAATGCCTCGTTTTGTGATCTCAATCCTTCAAATTCCATTCAAGGTTGGTTTTACCGGATTGTTTTCATTCTGAAAATTTGCTCTCAAAAACATCTTTCAATTAATTAAACACATTAGTAGCGTTCATTTGACTATTACACTAAACGTGAGTTCTATTAATGCTTAGCTAAGCTTTTAATTCAATTCAAGGTGAAACTAAAGCTCGAGTACGATTAGGGTTAAGGTTTTGGCGCTAAAATCACTCATACTTTGAGACAGGACCACATCTACCAAAACAAGTAATTTAGTTACCAATTGTCTTTTATCTCTTTTGTAAACCTGAACAACAAACGTTGATTTTTTTTTCAATTCTGAGTGAGAATAAGCTTTGAATTAAAGCAGATGTAACGTGCTTTATAAGAGATTGTCATTAAAAGGGGTTAGTTATAGATTTCAGCAGCCTAGAACGCTGTCAGAAAAATTTAATGAACGAATTGAGCCAAAAATTTTTGATCTGATGAAAAAAATAGTATCTGATATTTTTATTCGCCACTAATAGAACAATAATGATCATAATAATAATCATAATAATAATCATAATAATCATAATAATCATAATAATAATCATAATAATCATAATAATAATCATAATAATCATAATCATAATCATAATGATAATAATCATAATAAAAATAATAATAACAAAATAGAAACAATATTAATAATAATCATAATAATGATAATAATATTAATACTAAATGTAAAAATCACAATGAAAAAGTCAAAATAAGGATCATAATGATTATCATAAAAATAATAATCATAATAATAATCATAATAATCATAGCAATCAGAATAGTAATAATCATAATAATCATAATCATAATAAGAATCATAATAATCATAATAATAATCATAAAAATTTTAATAATATTTATAATAATCATAACAATCAAAATAATCATAATAATAATCAAAATCATAAAAAAAACTTAATCATAATCATAATTATAATAATAATCATAATACTAACAAGAATCATGCTAATAGTAATCATAATCATAATAATATTAAAAATCATAAAAATAATTAAAATAATCATAAGTGAAACTAATTTTAAAGTTCTGTATCGATTGAACGTGTCTGAAAAATCACGCCAATTTTAGTCAAAAAACGTTTAAATAATTGCGGGTATTTGAAAATTCCCGAAAGGTTGCTCGTTCTTGGCTCGGTTTAGCCTTAAAACACAACAACCAAGAAGTTTCTCAGATCAAAATCTCAACAGACTAATCGGCCTTAAATCACCAAGTAAACTACATATTGATATATACTAAATAAGATAATTTTTGATTTTCTCACGCATTAATATTTTGCAAAAATGAAATATTTTGTATCTGGTAAATTTTGCAAACAAAAACAAAAATGATAATTGCGACTCCACAAGAAACCTGATCTTTGATTCATATAAGTACAAATAAATTGTGTTTAGACCCTGTTATACGCAAAAATTTGAAATTTGTAATTGCAAAAAAAAATGTTTGAGCCCATTAATGATTTTGCGAAAAAAAATGAGAACTAAAACATTTGATCCTCAATTTGATAGTTTTGCATGAGTAAATTTTTTATCATACAGCTTTCCAAAATGAAATTTGTTTGAGAAGAATTTTTCATAGAATCTTTTAACGGAATTTGGAACCTGATCCAAACTGTATATTATTACTGATCATAAATTAGATATTTTATCCCTATAAAATATTGAAGACTAACCAATCATACTCCATCTAACTAACAACCCATTTATTTGTAAGTGCTGAAACTACTTGTAGTTTCAGCACCAGAGCATTCTGAATTTAACTTACAGCTTAGTTGCCTTTTCCAAGAGACCAACTGGTAACAAACCAGTATACTCTAGATCTTTTGAGACTAAGAGATATAAGAGTACGATTAAGATTGGTATTAGACTAAGAAGTTGCACGAATCTATCCGGCCGAAAATAAGATAGCGTGACGAGCAGACGGTGTATCTTATCTGAAATTACTCTATGAGTTAGACATCCGACCCAACTCATCTGGTGCGACCATAAGTCTCGAATAAGACCTTAAGCAAAAGAATAGCTTAGAACTAACTAAAAAAAGATTAGACTTAGACAAAAATCACAAAAATGTTACACGACAATACTTTAATTGAAATGCCTCTACGAATCAATAAATCAGAGCCATCATTCCGAACAATACGAGAACTCCCCCGTATTGGAGGAAGATCTCGGACAAGAGACGACATATGACTACAACGGAACTTACTCATAAGTTTCTTGGTCGTACGGCAAAAACCAACACGAACTTTTATACTTAGAATTTTATTAGCAATGAAATTAGATTTTCATTTGCAGACATAGTATAATTGAAGAAAATTCTTCACCGATAAATACAGGCGCTAAACCTATTAGTGTACAGTAACGATTGATAAAAAGATCTCTAATCGTTTTTTTTAAATCTGCAGTAATTTGAAAAGATATCTAAAAAGAATGTTTATTGAAAATGAAAAATAAAAATTAGTTAGTAAGTAAACAAATTGTTAGTAAAATACAAATCATTTCTCCATCTCAGCTTCATCACCTAAACATAACAAACAAATCATAAACCACTAACATGATCAAAAACTAAACCTTTCTATCAATTAAACTTTAAATTACTTTTGAAAGGCCTATTCTAATTTTTACTTTCACCTAAATTAAACCTTTTAAACTAAACCGATCATCAAGGTTTTCCTTGGATCTCCATTTCATTTTTATCCCAACTAAATTTTATATCAGTAATTTACATCTTGATCATCAAGGCTTATCGTTGGATCAAATAGAACAATTCTGTTCTCCCCCACACAATTAGCATAGTGTCTAACGACCTAAAAGGTCGATTCACTATCCAACCCTTACTAAGACCCAGGACTAACAGAAATTTTTCAATAACACTAACCACTCTAATTAGGATAAACAGTGAAGAACTTCGGTTATTCATCCTTCACTTGATCCCCCCTCTTACCTCACCCAGGCTAAATCTTAAATCTTAGTAAGTATTAAAATAGTATCTAACGAACTACTTGTGTTCTAATTATACCTGAACCTTGTGGATCGATTTACTATTCTCCAACCCTTGAACACAATCACTACCCCTAAGTAAGATTGAGTAAGTTAACACCTTAACTTAGACTACCCACGAGAAAGTAACAATCATTCTTCGAAATCGATATATGCTTTTCTCTCCAACCCAAAACACAAGACCCAAATTAGGCTAATCCGAGAAAAAAGTAAGAACTAATAATTTAGGCATTAAAAATCACTAATCCAAATATTGCATCCGTCATCCTAAACCCTATGTCACTAGACAATTTAGGAAAAAACAAACAATCATATTACACAAATGTGAAATAAACAACGAGATACTTGATCTCGTAATCACTCCCTACAGACAATGAACAGGATATATTAGAACCAAACGACAAACAATCAAACGAAAAATTTTAAGCAAACAAAGACAGATTACAAGAAAAATATTTTCAAAACAAAGAAACGCATTCTCCGAAATAGAAATAAGTCAAAGAAACAAAATCTCTG